CCTGACTAGCCTTAATGGGGAAAAAAAAAAAAAAAAAAAAAGAACACTGGAGGTGTTAAAAATTAAAAAGGCCTAAAATTAGATCAGGTTCGTGAAGGACTTTGTCAACAGCAAGTGCTATGCTGTGTTATGGCTGCTTCTGGGCCTGCCTGGGTGCGGGTCATGGCGGGAGGGAGGGCGTGTACCTTCTGTGTTCACGACGATGATTCCCTGCACTCCCTTCTGGCTCTGCAGTCGCTTCAGTGTCTCCTCCACCTCTGCCTGCCAGAAAACAAGACCAAGGTTAGGAGAAGCCAATAGGCAGGATTAACTTCCTCATACCCCAGGCAGATGAATCACATGTTTGTCTTCCAACAAACAAGTAATACTCAGGCACCTGGCACCCCCTCAAAGCTCCCCAAGCTGATCTGATGTGCTCCTCTGGCCACCGCCAGTGCCCAGAGCATCTGCTCACACCCCCATATGGGACAGGGCTGCTCCTGGCGCTTTGCCCACCAGGCACTATTATCCCACCCTCCTCAGCTGTTGGGGAGCAGAATATAAACACCATTCCCATGTATATACACGTCCATGACTCATATATTTGGCATAGCTGGGGGATGGGACTCTGATGATTTAAGAAAACCCAGAGAGTACTATCTAACAGGAAGACAACACTTTGTCATTTGCGGCCCAAAGAGCACATGAGGATAGACTGAGTGACTTCAGCAAGCATCCGAGATAGCGTGATGTGCAGCACTCAGCTATAAGAAGTGTGCCTTGGGAAGGGGCTCATTAATTTTGATTACCCAGAAACTGCTCAGTGGGCTACTCCCGCACACAGCATCTGTAAGCGGAGGGGCAGTTGGAGTTCATGTCCTCATTCTGCCATGCCAGGCCTCCTGTCACTCCTGTCCTACCTTTCCCTCCACTCTCCAGCTCCATGACACACCTCCCTGTCTCTACATCTTTTTATCCCACAAGGCCTCTTCTCTGCTGAAATCCAACAAACTCTTCTAGACCACCTAAGACATCATCTCCTCCACGAAGCCCTTACTGATCCCCCAGTCGATGCGGTCTGCCTACATGTGACTCCCCAAATCCCTGGCTGTGCTTCTCTGGGACATACATTAGGTACTATGTCTATTTCTTAGAGACTCTACAAAGGTCTGTGGAGTAGACGTGTGATAAATAGCTGCTTAACTGAACTAGGCCTAACTCTTCCTGTGGATGGAAACTAGCCCTGAGGTATACCTGTTCTCAGGCGGCCCCTTCCAGACTGGTCTAGAATCCAGTCAGAAGCCCCTCAAAGGCTGAGAGTTGTTAGAAACAGAGGCTCCATTCACCAAAAGAAAACAGTTCCTCACCCCCAGGGACTAATGAGTTGGGGTTGGGGGGGAATCCTCAACACTGGGTGGAGACAGCACAATGAATTCTTGTTTTTTCTGGAAAGCACAAGGCTGACAATCCAGTCACTGCCACCCGCTCCCCTGTGACAGAAGAATACTCTCGAACGCTGGAGGGAAGGGTAAACAAGTTTCTCCTATAAAGTGGCAAATGGCCTGATGCTTCTAAGATCTGGAGCCTGGGTAAAATGACAGGGTTCTGTGGACGTGAGAGTACAATGCAGTGGGTCATGCGTGTATGAGATTGAATGTCAGTCAACACATTCATTGAGCTCCTACTATGTGCCAGTGGCTATTGTGAAGGGGAGGAGCGGGGCACAATAGTGGTCACCGCTGGACAGTACACAGTCTACCCTGGTCACCCTCCTGGAAGTTCACTAAGTACCAAAGTATAGTGGCATCTGCAATAGCAAAATGCAGAAAGAACTAAAAACGCCCAACAATTAGGGAAAAGGCCAAGTAGATTATGGAACATTCACTAATAGGAATATAATACACATATTAACCATGGTGATTAGACCACGTTATACCATCACAAAAGATGTGTGCTATAATGTTAAGTGAAAACAGCAAAATGCAAAAATAAAGTGCTTTAGGGACTGCAATCACATGAAAACAAAAGGTTAGAGGAGATTATGAAAAAAGCCACATTAAGGGCAAGGAATTATAGAAAGGTTTGATTTTCTTTTTTTTAAACCGCCCTTTTCATTCTACTGTATTGTTTCTATTTAAAAACATTTTAATCCCCCATCTATGTATCCAAGAGAAGTCTATGATACAGGGGCCACAGGGCTCTGATACACTCAATGTTGTCAGAATAAGAATATGTAAGAATAACTTGGATGATAATTTAGGACAGCTCAATCTGCAATCAATCCAGAAAGAAAGGGGAAAGAAAGTGAAAACCAAGATGTCAGAATCTAAATCCAAAACAGCCCCCAGAGATTAGAGAATGGGGCTGAAATGAAAAAGATGAAATTTCCTAAGGCTGCTATTCATTCAGTAACTACATGGCAACCTTCCATGTGCCAGAAATGTTCTAGGCCTGGGGATGCTGCAGTGAACAAAATATAACAAAAATCCCATGTCACAAAACTGACATTTGTGGGAAGGGACATTAAATAAGAAAAAAGAAGTCAAACATAAATGTCAGCTACAGTAGAGAAATGGGACCTGGAATGCAGGGGTGATGGGAATGTGACATACATCGTCAGAGAAGGCTCGCCAAGGCGATAGTGAGTAGACATCTGAAGGAAATGAGGGACTTAGCCATGCCAGTTTCTGGGGAATGTTCCAGACAGCACCAAGAGCAAGCACAAAAGCCCTGGGGTGGGCAAGTGCCTGGCATATTCAGGGGGAAAACCAAAGGGGCTGGTGTGGCTGAAGGGCAGGGAGCAGGGGAGGGACAGCAGCTGGGAGCCGGGACCAGACCACAGACAGCCTGGCAGGTCAAGTGATGACTTTGGTTTTTACTGCATATGATTCATGGAGCCACTCTCAAGTTTTGAGGTAGAGAGTGACAAGACCTGATTGTTTTCCAAAGGGCGGCTCTGGCTGCTGTGTGGAGAATGGACAGCAGGGGGCGAACACAGCCTGAAGAGGCCTCCCATCCCTGCCCTGCCACCTGCTGCTCTGGGTCTGAAGGAAACAAGCTTCCCTCCTTCACTCAATGCTTGATGTAACTACCTCCCAACCCTTTGGACTCAGCTCCAGAGCTTCCCACTGGAGGCTTCTCTGACACCAGCCCCTCTGCTGGGCACCGAGGCCCTCAGCCTTCACAGCACTGACCACAATGCAGTGCAACTGTTTAGGTCACATTCATCTCCTCCTCCAGACGCAAGGCACCCTGGGACCAGGAAACCAGACCAGACTTTACAGCCCCAGTACCTTGCAGAGGATAGGCTCAATAAATACTGAAGGAACAAATAAAAAGCATTTCCGCAACTATGTTTCACGAAATCAACCTTTTTAAGTACAGGAGGGGGACATGGCCTCACAGTCCACAGTGTGAAAAAAGAGCTAAGGTTTAGGTGATCTGAAATTCAACGAGAACCAGACACTAAGATCTGGCTATACAAAAGTAAACACAAGCTGGGTGCAGTGGCTCATGCCTGTAATCCCAGCACTTTGAGGGGCCAAAGCAGGTAGACTGCTTGAGCCCAAGAGTTTGAGACTAGCCTGGGCAACATGGTGAAACTTCATCTTTACAAAAGATTAAAAAAATTAACCATGCATGGTGTCATGTGCCTGTAGTCCCAGCTACTTGTGAGGCTGAGGTGAAAGGGTTGCTTGAGCCCAGGAGGTAGAGGCTGCAGTGAGCCACGATTGTGCCATTGTACTCCAGCCTGGACAACAAGGATTGAGAACCTCCTCAAAAAAAAAAAAAAAAAAGAGGAAAAGAAAAAAATAAGATGAAAGTAAAACACACATCTCCCAACACATCTATCACGGGAGATGGGAGGACACCACAGGTATGATTTCCCGTACTTCAGGCACCTACTTATCTTGGGTCATATATTGGCTTTTCAGGACACGCATGCTCCTCTCTGCAAAACTCTCATTCAGCGGGGTCAGTATGATTCTCCATGGTTGAGTTAGGAGTGAGAAACAGTTTGGAAAAGGAGAAGGGGTTTTGCGCCCTTAAGAACAACCACATTTGCTGGTCAAAGCGGGCAAGGGCGCTGGAATTACCGGGTGACCCACGAACTGCGCAGGAGCGGGGGGGGTCCCCTGCCCCAGGGAACGGGCTCACCCATTTCCTGCGCGGAAAGAGACTTAAACAAGTAAAGTCCAAGGATTCTTGCCACAGGATACAGGGCAACTTACGGCTTGCCGGGCAAGGGGATCGGGGGCTAAGCTCTGGGCTAATTGGTCAGGGGAACCCTGAGGAGACCTGTAATCTTTTTTTTTTTTTTTGTCTGAGAAGCGCGGCTCCACTCTTTACCCCAGGCCTGCAGTGGCGCTGCGGATCCATGGCTTCAACGTTGGCAGCTTGGACCTCCCCCAGGCCTCAAGGTGATCCTCGGCCCACTTTCAGCCTCCCGCAACATGGTGGGGGCGACTGAATGCTGTACTTTTACCACACCAAGCTAACTTCGTGTTGTAGAGATGGGGGGGGTTTTGCCATGTTGCTCAGGCTGGTCTTGAACTCCCGGGCTCAACTGATCTACTTGCCTTGGCCTCCCAAAGTGCTGGGACTACACATGTGAGCCACCATTCTCGGCCGTAAGTATGTCATCTTTAAGCCAAGAACCAAATGATGAGAAAGAAATGCATCCCGGGCAATGGGGTGACGGAGACAAGGCTCCCCAATTCTCTAGTCCCCAGGTGCACATTCCTGACACATGGAAAAACAAGCAGCAATAAAGATCCAAGAGTATCCACTGGCTCAGCATAGGAGGCATGACCACTGGAAGCAAATGACTGACAAAGAACTATGACCAATTTGATCACTAAACATAAAACTTAACTTCTGTATAAGAAAAATGAATCTAACAGGACAGAAAAATATATGCACCAAATATAACAGGCAAAAAAACCCACAAAAACATGAAATGACTAAGAACAATAGCAAGTCTCTAGTAGGTAGTATGCAAAAGAATACTAGTAGAAAATATGCCTACCGGAAATTACAATCACATCAAACTATGGTCATCATTCCTCGCAAACAAATAAATGAAAAATTCAGCTGGGCGTGGTGCTCACACCTGTAATCCCAGAACTTTGGGAAACTGAGGTGGGTGAATCACTTGAGGTCAGGAGTTTGAGACCAGCCTGGCCAACATGGTGAAACCCTGTCTCTACTAAAAATACAAAAATTAGCCATCATGGTGGCACAGGCCTGTGATCCCAGCTAATCAGGAGGCTGAGGCAGGAGAATTGCTTGAACCTGGGAGGCAGAGGTTGTAGTAAGCTGAGATCGCTTACTGAACTCCAGCCTGGGCAACAGAGTGAGATTCCATTTCAAAGAAAGGAAAGAAATGAAAAATTATAGCAATGCTGAGGTTTATTTTTAAATGCTGGCATTGCTATTACAAAACTGGCAGGTACAAGGGCAATACAATCTTGACAAAGCTACAGGACAATGTATTGCAAGAACCATAAAAGCATTGGTCCCTCCCCCACAGAAATTATTTTCCTAAGAATTTCCTCCTGAGGAAATAACAAGTAAGTTAAAACAAAACAAAACAAAACCAGACATTCACAGAAGCATCATCACAGCACTATTTCTACTAATTAAGAAATGGAAGCAGCCGGGTATGGTGGCTCATGCCTGTAATCCCGGCACTTTGGGAGGCTGAGGCAGGTGGATCACCTGAGGTCAGGAGTTTGAGACCAGCCTGGCCAATATGGCGAAACCCTGTCTTTACTAAAAAATACAAAAATTAGTTGGGCGTGATGGTGCGCGCCTGTAATCTCAGCTACTCAGGAGGCTGAGGCAGGAAAATCACTTGAATCTGGGAGGCAGAGGTTGCAGTGAACTGAGACTGAGCCACTGCACTCTAGCCTGAGCAACAGAGACTTCGTCTCTAAAACAAACAAAGAAATGGGAGCAACCCAAACGTACACAGGTAAGATATTTGGCCAATTATGGTACAATTATTTCACTAAGTATTATGTAGTTACTACGTAGTTAATCACAAAGACGATATGACAACAAGGTTAAATGTTTTTGGATGTTAAAACAAAAAAAAAAGAAAAAAATTCTCCTAAAACCCAGCATGCATATCTTGGAAAATATGTATACGTGAACAAAAGAGGAAGGAGAACATACAAAGACGAAAATAGTTGTGTGGTAGAGTGAAACTGGATGAGGAGAATTATATATGATTACTTTTAAATTTTATTATTTTGAAACAGAGTCTTGCTCTGTTGCCCAGGCTGGAGTGCACTGGCCTGGTCTCGGATCACTGCAATGCCCGCCTCCCAGGTTCAAGCAATTCTAGTGCCTCAGCCTCCTGAGCAGCTGGAATTACAGATGCATGGCTTCCGGCTACTTTTCGTATTTTTAGTAGAGACAGAGTTTCACCATGTTGCCCAGGCTAGTCTCCAACTTCTGACCTCAAGTGATCTGCCCACCTTGGCCTCCCAAAGTGCTGGGATTATAGGCGTGAGCCATTGTGTCTGGCCAATTATAGATGATTTTTATATCATTATTCTAAAGGTCAGTTTCCACCTAAAATGTAAAATATGCATGCCAAAAGTGCCACTTGTAGAAATCTATGCTACATAACCACTAGCATGAGTGCGAAAAAGACAAGAACAGTTACTGCAGCAGTGTCTGGAATAAAAAAAACTATACACCACCTAAATTTACATATGGGACTAGGATACTATACAGACCTTAAAAAGAATGAAGTAGACCTGCATATCATAACACAGAAAAATGTGTGATATTTTTAAGTGAACAGAACAAGTTGCAGAATAAGATACATACACATATATCTTAAAGTCAACTTCTGTTTTCTCTTATTTTTTTCTCACCCAGGGTGGAGTGCAGTGGTGCAATCACGGCTCACTGTAGCCTTGACCTCCTGGGCTCAGGCGATCTCTCCACTTCAGCCTTAAACTTAACATATATAAATATACATATTCCAGTTTCATCTAATAAACAGCTTATATATAAATGTGCTTAGGTACCAAACAAATCTGGAAGGAAAAACACCCAACTGCCAACAGAAGTTACCATGGAGTAGTAAGATGGAGACCACATAAACTTTCTACATTATATCCTCTGGTACTGCTTCAAATTGTTGAAATATGTGGTGGTTCATGCCTGTAATCCCAGCACTTTTGGAGGCTGAGGTGGGCTGATCACCTGAGGTCAGGAGTTCGAGACCAGCCTGGTCAACATGGTGAAACCCTGTCTCTACTAAAAATAGAAAAAAAAAAAACCGTCTCTACTAAAAATAGAAAAACTAGCCAGGTGTGGTGGCATGCGCCTGTAGTCCCAGCTACTCTGGAGGCTGAGGCAGGAGAATCACTTGAACCTGGGAGGCGGAGGTTGCAGTGAGCTCAGATCACACCATTGCACTCCAGCCTGGGCGAAAGGGCAAGACTCTGTTTCAAAAGAAAAAAAAAAAAGTTAAAGTATGCATCTAAATTTGTATTGCTTTTATGAGTATAACCAAAGAATAGCATAATACAGGTTCTAGTAAGCTACCATTTAAGAAATAGGGGGGCCATATAAGTGCTTGTATAGATGTACAAGAAACTAACAGCTGGGTGTGGTGGCTCACGCCTGTAATCCTAACACACTTTTGGGAGGCCAACGTGGGTGAATCACTTGAGCCTAGGAGTTCAAGACCAGCCTGGGCAACATGGCAAAACCCCATCTCTACAAAAAAATTAGCAGGGTGTGGTGGCGTGCACTAGTAGTCCCAGCTACTTGGGGGAATTGAGGCAGGAGGATCACTTGAGCCCAGGAGGGTCAAGGCTGAAAAAAAAAGAAACTACAATGGTTGTTTCTAAAGGAGGAGAGACTGAGACTGGGGGTTAGGAGAGTGGGAATTTTATTTTTCACTTAGATCCTTTTACATCATTTATTTTTTTACTGTATGCAAGTATTACCTGTAAACAATCCTAAAATTCGTATGGAACCACAAAAGACTCAGAAAAGACAAAGCAAGTCTGGACAAAAAGAACAAAGCTTGAAGTATCACACTACCTGATTTCAAAATATACCAGAAAGGTATAGTAATCAAAAGAGCATGGTATTGGTATAAAACACAGACACACAGGCCAATGGCATAGAATAGACGACCCAGAAACAAATCCACATATTTAGAGCTAACTGATTTTCGACAAAGGCATCAAAAAAACAAAACAAAACAAAAACAAAAAACCTACCATAAATCAACAATACCACTACTGCGTATTTATTCAAAGGAAAGAAAATTAGTACATCAAAGGGATCCCCACATCCTTATGTTCATATTGCAGCACTATTCACAATAGCCAAGTTATGGAATTAGTGTCTATCAATAGGTAAATGAATAAAGAAAATGTGGGCCGGGCGTGATGGATCACATCTGTAATCCCAGCACTTTGGGATGCCGAGGCGGGTGGATCATGAGGTCAGAAGATCGAGACCATCCTGGCTAACACGGTGAAACCCCGTCTGACTCTACTAAAAATACAAAAAATTAGCCGGGCGTGGTGGCGGGCGCCTGTAGTCCCAGCTAAGGCAGGAGAATGGCGTGAACCTGGGAGGCAGAGGTGGCAGTGAGCTAAGATGGTGCCACTGCACTCCAGCCTGGGTGACAGAGCGAGACTCCATCTCAAAAAAAAAAAAAAAAAAAGGAAATAATGAATGTTTGAGGTGATGGATATTCTATAATACAGCCTGATTTGATCATTACACATCATATGCATGTATCAAAATATTACATGTATATCTACAACATAAATATGTACAACTATTATATATCAATTTTTTTACAGCTTAAGAAGTGATGTGAAAAATGAAGTTATACATATTTTAAGCATTATTACATGTTTGTAATGATGTGGAGATATTCTTTGTGGTGTAATAATGAAAAACACAGAACCACAATTGTACATTCAATAGGGGCTAAACTGTATAAACCAAAAACAAGCAAAGAGTCACATGACTACTGTAAGTGGTTGCCTCTAGGTGATGACAGTTTCTTTTTTCGATTTTTTCTTATAAGCTCTAGATTTCTAAATAAGATCTTTGAAAAAGTAATACATTCACATGGCTTAAAATTTAAAACTTTTTTTCAAATTTTGCACAAGCTGTGAGCATTAAAAACACAAAACCTGTAATGGCGTAGAGAGCCCACAACTGCAGCCAGAAAGGTAAAAAGGCGGCTTTGGGATCCCCAAGAGCGGACCCCGCCCGTTCCTGACTCTGGCACCCACCCAGTCCCAGCGGCTAGAAAAATCACGCCGACAGAGTGGCGGCCGTCAAGCTTCTAGGGTTCAAATCCACCTCCACCATTTTCTGGGGCAAAGCACTTGGCTTCTCGGGGCTCTGGATAACAGATATGTGTAACAAAATGGGACTAAAGATCATATCTACCTCACAGAGCTAGGAGGAGGAAGGGGGAGGAAATACAAGACACATAAAGTGCTTGGCAGAGCCTGCCACAAACTGAGCTCCCGGGAAACGTCAGCAAGGTTGCCATCGCGCAACAAGACCCAGGACGCTAGGCTGCAGGGCCGCTGCCCACCCCTAGCCCATCATCTCTTCCTGGCCAAGGCCAGGCTCCTGCTTCCGGTAAAGGGGCAGCGGGATCCGGCGGCCCCGCCTCGGTCAGGCTCTAGAGGCCTCCGCCGCCGGGTTCCGCCCTCAAGTCGGCTGGGTCCCGGGCCCGGCCACGCCCAGCCCCCACCGATTCCCGTCCGGAGCTCTGAGATCTCCTCATCCTCAGAGGACTGAAGGCCTGGCGTGGGGTGGTGGGCAGCCGCCAGCCACAAGCCCCCGGCGCACGCTCACCATTTCCGACCGATCCGGTAGCCCCGCGTAGCAAACACCCAGCCCAGTCCCGTGCCTTTCTGCGCCTGCGCACAGGTTTCTATCAAAACGGACAGCTCTAGCTGCCTATCAGGAGCCAGCGTGAAGCGGGGGCGGGCGAGACGATCCTGGCTCCGCCAGGACTCTTGGAAAATTTGCTTTCCACTGTGGGAAAGCAAAAAGCTAAGAAGCGGAACGCTAAGCTGCGGAAAATTCCCAACTCCAGCCGTGCAGAAAAGATGCTGGTTCTGGCTGGACGCGGTGACTCACGCCTGTAATCCCAGCACTTTGGGAGGACAGTCGGAAGGATTGCTTGAGTCCAAGAGTTCGAGACCAGCCTGGGCAACATGGAGAGCGACCCCTTATCTACTAAAAAATAAACAAAACTAGCCGGGCATGGTGGCGCGCCCCAGTAGTCCCAGCTACTCCGAAGGCTGAGGTGGGAGGATCGCCTGACCAGGAGTTCGAGGCTGCAGTGAGCCGAGATTGCGCCACTGCACTCCAACCTGGGCGACAGAGCAAGAGACCCTGACTCAAAAAAAAAAAAAAAAAGATGCTGGTTCTCGGTATCGGAAGAGGCTTTTAGCTCTCAATGGAGGTCTAAGCTGACTCTGAAGTCCCTGGGTGGAGCGTGGTGGGAGAGTATGAAGGCAAGTGGGACGGTTGCTGAGACCCCCTTTGCGCCCTGACTGAGGCAGAGACAGGCCCAGGGCCAAAATGCGCTTTGGGCTCGGGCAGGTCGGGGGTGGGGCTGGAGTCAGGTACCTCTGGAGTCTCCGGGGAAGATGCCGTGCAAGCTCGGAGATGAATTGGTTAGGGCTGGCCTGGGAGTCTTTCGAATCCGAGCTCAGCCCCGCCCCGCGTTACGTAGCAGAAGCCACTTCACATCTTTGTTCTCTATCTTGTTCTCACCTCTGAAAGGGGGACTCTTCTTCCCAGAGCCCTATGTTGTCCCGGTTTCCGCTCTTTAACATTCTATTCCCGCAGGTCACAAACGTTTCTGGGTCCTCTAGTAAGAATAACTTCTGTTAAAACGTGCTGCAGCTTAGTGAACCCTGTGCCACATTACTGTGCTGAACACGCACATAGGTTATCTCCGTAGCTTCATGGAAGTATCGGTAACCCCGATACTTTATAAATGCTGTTTCTCCCAGGCACTGTAGCTTGCTGGATTCAACGATGATCTAACTCCAAAGTTTCATTCCACGGTAGCTGCTCTTCAGTAAGGAAGGATTTGGTTCTCCTTCCAGGGGTGTCTGCATGTTAAGAGGATTGACTTTACTGCGAAGAAACCTAGCCGACACCACCTTAACCAGATCAAAGTTAGTATTACTGGAAAGGGGACATATTGATGCCTTGTGCCCGGATAAAAATGCGTTGAGGGCAAATTACCTCCAAGTCATTTTCCACAAAAACGCAAAGCCTTAAACCATGAGAAAACTTCACTAAACCCAGCGTGAGGGATGTTCTACAAGACACCTGTACTCCCCGCAAAATCTCAAAAAGTCATGAAAGCAAGGAATGAATGCGGAACTGTCACAGATTAGAAGAGTAAAGAGAAAGCAAAATAACATTGGTGGGAAAATTGGTGAAATATGAGTAAGGGCTGTAGTTTAGTGTTATTTTACCAGTGTTAATTTATTATTTCTGGTAATTCTACTAGCATGGTTATGTGGGATCATAACATTGGAGAAAGCTGGGTGAAGACTGTGCAGGAACTCTTACCATTTTTGCAACAGCTCTGTAAATGTAAACTTATTTCAAAATAAATTTTTAAAAGGACTGGATCCAAAGGAATTTCTATTGAATGCTGGAAACATTAGGAAAGCATTTAGCCAGGGGAAAAAGTGCTGCAGAGACTGGACCCTAAAACATCCTGGAAGACAAGCCCTGGAAGAATCACCACCTTCTTGCCCATGGAGAACCAGACTGAGAGGAATGAAAGGATTTTAAAAGATTACAATCCCAGAAGCAAAAAAGAGAATGGCCAATAGTTCATATGATGGGAGTCAAAATGAGAATGGAGGAGGAGCTGGAATAGGACCAAGAATGTCCCGGAGTGGCAGGCTTACAAGCTTTAAGAGCTTTGGCCGGGCGCGGTGGCTCACGCCTGTAATCCCAGCACTTTGGGAGGCCGAGGCGGGCGGATCACGAGGTCGGAGTTCGAGACCAGCCTGACCAACATGGTGAAACCCCCATCTCTACTAAAAATACAAAAATTAGCCAGGCATAGTGGCACGTGCCTGTAGTTCCAGCTGCTTGGGAGGCTGAGGCCAAAGAATCGCTTGAGTCTGGGAGGCGGAGGTTGTACTGCAGTGAGCTGAGATTGTGCCACTGCGATCTGCCTGGGCGACAGAATGAGACTGTCTCAAAAAAAAAAAAGAAAAAGAAAAAAAAAGTTTTATACTGTGGTAATGGTGAAACCACTGTAAGATTTTAGGTAGAGGAGGCATGAGACAGGACTTCCACAGATAATCCTGAGGTAGCACGGAAGATATACTGGAGCAGGGACGATGGAAAAATGAAGACAGGATGCCCTTATGGTCAGCCAGATTAGGAAGGAAGCATGTGGGCTGTGGCCATGTTGTAAACTCTGAGAGAAGGGATTTTAAAAAGTTTTGGGGCTGGGCGTGGTGGCTCACGCCTGTAATCCCAGCACTTTGGGAGGCCAAGGTGGGTAGATCACGAGGTCAGGAGATCAAGACCACGGTGAAACAGCATCTCTACTAAATACAAAAAATTAGCCCAGGGTGGTGGTGGGCGCCTGTAATCATACCTACTAACGAGGCTAAGGCAGAATTACTTGAACCTGGGAGGCGGAGGTTGCAGTGAGCTGAGATTGTGCCACTGCACTCCAGCCTGGGCAACAGAGCGAGACTCCACCTCAAAAAAAAAAAAAAAAGTTTTGGGAATAGGATTTGGAGACAAATTAAATGGAATGGCAAAATTGGTCATATTAGATTCCCAGTGTTGTGGTAAGTAGCAGCACAACAAAATGGTAAAGTACGCATGCTTTATAGGGTCAAACCATCCTGGATTCCAATCTGTACTCTTTCTACTTAATAGTTGTGGACATGATTGAATCATCTTGAGCCTCTATTTTCTTGTAAAACAGATATAATCATACTCAGTAACAGGAAGACTAAGTGACACTGCACATAGCGTATCTACCAGTGTCCTGCACATAGTGATAAATGTTGACAGTTGTTTTGGTATTAAGTGAATATGGGTGTGGTACTGGTTGCTATGATATGGAAGACAAATAGAACAGGTCTGAATTAGAAGAAAAATCACAGGAGGGCTGTTTTTAGTGATCTTTCAAGTATGACTACAAATTCTCAAGGTCCCTCCCTGTGGGGTGCTTTGAGGAAATCCTCTTGTCTATAGCCACTCTTTGCTTATTAACAGACTCCTGTGCATAAGGGATCAACAGTGTCCTTCTGGGGTTTATGTTTAAGGCCCTCTTTTCCTTGCCAACCATGAAGATTCCCCTGGCTCCTCACTCCAGATATCCTGATCACAAAGGAGTCCTACAAATATGAAAGAATCGACAACTGAAATGGGCTGGGAGAGACAGCAGCTCCTGTACTGGAGTTACATAATGTGAGACAGACACTTAAAAAGTCCAGAGAACAGCCAGTCAGTCACAGCTGAGTCCCAGTTTGATGCTTTGTAGGGTTCTGGATGAGAGCCAATGGTCAGTAAGAACAATTACTTAATGATGATTGACCCTTACTTAGTGGGGCATATTTTCCCCCTTATTCTAAGCCACAATGAAACTAGGGCATTCTAGCAGCTTCCATTGGACAGAATAAACAGGATAGGGTCTACTAACTACTCAGGACCTGGGAGGGGCCTGCAGTTTTTGTCCTCTAGTCCATGTAAGCTCAGCTGTATTAAAAAATTCCTCTTCCCTTAGTCTGTCTCCACTGGTTCTGTTTTCAATGAGAGCATAATCACCTGAGTTTCCTAATAAGAAAAAGGTCTACTGAAGCTGGTAACCAGGTCAGCTTGTTGCGAACAGTCTTGGTAACAGTCTTGACAGTTAGCTAGTTGGTGATTCTCTACTCAGCACTCATGCGTGTGGTCCTGGTCTTCTAGTTGTCTCAGAAAAGCAATTCATATGGAGGCCTATTCATGTTGGTTGATGGCCCCTGCAGATATCTTCATCTTCAACATGGGCATCAAATCCAGTCTCATCTGCACAGCTCTTTCTAGTTTTTTCTACCCATATTGTGGCAGGCCAGATCTCAATAACGCAGGCCTCCATGACAACTGTTTCAACACTGAGTGGTTAAGTTAAATATTAAAAGCTGAGTCAGGGCCCTTATACAAAGGCTGGAATGTAACAAAAGCCCACCAAGGGTTTTGCCCAGGCCTTTTCTGGGCCTTAAAGCATGACAAGGTAACAAAGGAATTTTTAACAGGACCCATTTAGGATTAAACAAATTTTATTGGGAGTCTGAAGGGACTTATTGAGGGTCTGAAGGCCTCCACAAACAAGTTTACTGGGGGGTCTGAAGGAACTCCCCAAACCTCCATGATTTAGCAGGAGACAAGATAAGGGTAATCACCCCAGAACCTGGACCCATTTAGATTAAGTAAATGTACTTGAGGCTCCAGAGGAAGGTTTTTGGGACTCAGATCTTATTTACAGATTTAAAAAAGTGAATCACTTGTCTTTAGATGAATGCACACTCACACGTAGACATACAGCTTATAAGGTAAATAAGCTCTGGAAAACTCTGTAGTTTTGAGTTGGTCTTGGGATAATTTCCTGGCCTTCTCCCCATACCTGGATACAGAAATAAACTCCCTCTTTTCCCAGTTCATCTGCACCTCATTATTTGGCTACAAGAATAAGCAGTCCGACCCTCGATTTGGTCTGGGAACAACATCACAATCCAGACAGGCTGTAACCTGCCACTTAAAAGAGCAGAGAAAGCAGAAATCTATGTGACCTGGTCACATATAAGTCTTCTCAGAAGGTGGGGTCGGGGAGAGAGGAAAGAGACCCCTCCTTACCCAAGACTAACGGAAAGGCATGCAAATGAAGGACCAAAAAAGTTTAATTATGAACAGTCTTATAT